CAAGTTTTCTGAAGATCTTCTATATCAGGTAATTTCTGCAGATAATCCTATCAGGTCTTATGCGATACATCTCAAAGACCACAATTTTGACATAGTTATACTCACTTTATTTATGCAAATAATTGTACTTCCTTTTGCATCTCTGTTATTCTAATTGCTTTATATTGTTCATTGTGTATTTGTCCTTAACCTTTTCTCTTTTTCTCCATTTTGTATTTCCTGTACTTGCTCTTTTCGAATTTTTCCATTCAATTCATAGAGCATGATGTGCGTCAATTCCTGGTATTAGCTATTTGTTGCCGTCCAACCGTTATAGCGGTTAGCATCATTGACTGCCGTGCCAAAAGGCCCAGATTCGAATCCCGGAGAAAGCATGGCTGTTTGTAAATGTATATTGTCGGTGCGGAATGGCGGCAATCTTAATATGCGGCGAGCCAAAAGTTCTCTCGAGAGACTGGTGGTAGAGGAAATGAGGGTGGATGCCATCGGACCCGTCCCCCCCAGTGTGCTCTCCATAAAAATTGAGGGCGGAACTGAGCCAAATCGCACTGTCACTTGTCAGTTGCTCAAGGCTGTTGCCAAAGACAGGTGTATTCTAGCGCTCCCTGCCACGAGGAATTTCGTGGGCTTGGGCTGATTACGTCAGACAAATGAGCGTAAGTAACAATAACAACACAATAAACGACTGCCGGAGGAGAACCAAGCAGATGATGCATAACAAAGTATTGACTTACTGATGGCTGGGTAATATTGATGCTTTTTATTAAGTTCAGAATGGTTTTCTAAAAGGGCATGGGATTGGTTTTTCAAGGTTTCTGGTCTTGCTTGCTATATGGCTGATATGGTCGTACCAGGTAAGACTTTGATTTAAAATTATCCCCAGATAATTGACTTTTGTGACTGTCCAGACTTCTCCAAGGAGATAAAGTTTTGTCACATTTTGAATAATCTCTCTTTTTCTTACAAGGATTAGCTTGTATTTCGAGGAGTTTATACTAACTCTCCATCTCTTGTAGTCGAGTTCATATTCTTGATATTTAGAAATGGCATTGTTATGATTGGTAGAGCTAATAGTTATCCGCTTGTCATCGCCATATTACGGCAATACTGAGTTGTGGTCTAACTTTTATAGGGTAAAATCCGATACGCAGAAGAAGTATGGTATGGGCCGAAGGCCTTGGGGCAACCCTTATATTTATCTGTGTAATCTGTATCACATATACATATACGTGTGTCCCTTTTCATAACTGCGTAATTTAACATGGGTTTGTTAAAAATCATTCAAAAGGCTTCTTCAGTTGACCATTAAATTTCCCCGAAGATTTTCATGATCAAAAACTCTGTCAGCTTAGTTGATGACTTTAATTTTAGTTCAGTTTTTCCGACAACACAAAAGTCTTGTTTCGCAATTTCTTTTTCTTTCTAATTTCTAATTTGCTCGACTGATGGTGTTATAAGGTTTGATACTTTTTTTCTAATTTTTAATTTCTGTGTTTTTATTCAGCCGGTTTAAATTACATATTTTGGGGTTTAAGGCCAAAATGCTTTTCTTTGTTGAAGTGTTTGTATTTGCTCTATTAAAAATGCATACAGTTTTATACAATATTTGTCAACAGTATAATTCATTACCTAATGAAATAATTTATCTGGTTATACGATTATCTTTTTATTAATTAATTATACGATTTCACCGAATGTTAGCCCATTAAAATTAGCTCCTTTGTTATTTCGTAAGAAGATATGAATTTGCTAAATTAGGTCAGTTTATTTTTATCTAAAGTCAGTATAAAAAATTTTGAAATAGAAAAAAATAAATTTAAAACCATTGATAAACTTTTTGAACAGGTATTCGAATCTGAGTAAGAATATTCACTAGTCAAATACTAGCGTAAGTGTAAGATAGCCTCACATAAAGAAAAGTCATTTCATGCCGAAACACAGTGTCATCACTGTATTTTAGTCGATATTAAATGAAATCATAACTTGCCCAAAAGATAGCCTTATATATAATAGCTTGATAGAAAGAACATGCTAGAACTACAACTTGAAATCATGTACAAAGATGGCATTCGAAGCTATGTCAAAGGGAAAGTTATTTCATTCTTCAGCTCAAGTATTTCATCTCACTCAAGCAGGAAATTTAACGAGTTATTAAAATCTTGAATTTTAACAGTCTTTCATATTGTTCGTGTATGTTCATCACTTTACACGTGGGACATAACTGGAATAGAATAATGTTGCTCTTCTTTTAAAATCTGGAAAGAGAATGAGTAGCAAACTCTATAATTTTAGTAAAGTTAATAAGCAGCTCATCACGTTATTATAAATATTACATAGTAAATTAAAATATTGTCATGCACTATGCAAACTTTAAATGAGTACAACAGGGTCACATTGCCCAAACCCATTTATTGCGGAAACTATGTTGTGCCATATTCGCAGAGCAGGTTGCCGCTGGAAATGAGAACACGTTTCAGTATATTTTCTTTCCACTTAGGGTTTTAGAACCTGCTTGAATGAAATTATGTTCTCTAAGTGCACTGAACGTTTTAGCAAAATATATGTAACGTTTATCAATTGATATTAATTTATATCGAACACAATAATTAAACATTTTGGGCCTAAACCAGAAATATCTAATTTAAATAGACTGAATAAAACGCAGAATATAAAAGCATGGAATAAAATATCAAATATTGTAACACCATCAATCGAACTGATTAGAAATTAGAGAAGGAAAGAAACTACGAAATAAGGCCCTCATCTTATTATGGTTGTATTACGATTGCATTTCAAAGAATTCGTATTTTTCAGTTTGATGAATGCAAGAATCTAAGCAGTATATTACATTAGTATTTACAAGACTTTTTTTCGGTGGGGGGAATAGCAAGTAATAGTTACGAATAATTCCCGTGCGATCTGACTTTTCACACAATCAGCAAATTATTATTATTATTATTATCCTTCTGACTTATTCTCACAAGGGTTATGCTTTTGCAGAGGATTATCACACTACTGAAATCTGCATGAAAAATGTTTGAAAACTCATTCTTCTATGAAAGCTTTATGATAATCGCTAAATTCTGTTTTCCACGAAATTTTTATTATGACAGGCTAGTACTGGTGAAGCAAATGCTTTAAAAAGAACATAATTCTAGAAATGGAACGAATCCTAAATTTTCCCAAATCTGAAAGCGAATCCTAAATTATTCCGGAAACTGTTGCATAAGAATAAAAAGAACAAAAATAATAAAAAAAATTTCATTAAAATAAAATTTCATAATCAAAGCCAAATTCCAAATCGATGTTTAATAAAAAAAGTCTGATATGTGCACCACATAACTTCCTTGTACGGAATATTAAATTATACGCACTTTTTGCTGCATTTAATTTAAACTTATTTCCTCGAATTTTATTAGAGATATATTTCTAATTCAATTAACTCTGTTCAAACAATTTTTACAATTATAATTAGAGTTTCTCCGTAAAAATAAGCAATTAAAAGTAAAGAGACAAAGATCAAAGTTTAATTTCGGCAAAAAGACACTGAACTCGCTATTCTGCTAAGTTTCAAATGTAAACAAATATGGCTGCTATAGTAAACAAAAATTAGGCTTAGCCGCCCTTAAACAGCTTTTAAATTGTGATAAGTCTACAACTATTGAATGCAGATTAACTAAAGGTATAAAAAGCTTAACCGGAAGATAAGAACAACATAATTCACTCATTTTTAAAGCATAAAAAGGCGCAATTTACCAACATATGAGAATTAAAAAACTGAGCTCACTGAGCCGAGTAATAGAGTGGGTATATATTACATACAACAACAACAAGGCAACAGCGCCCCTGTTCTCTGGAGTTAAGGTAAAGGTAAAAGGAAAGTTAGAAGGTATTTTCTCCCTTCTTCCTGCATGTTTTCGTGGTGTAACTGGAAGCACACTCGACATGTATTCGGGAGGTGCGAGTTCGAATCCCGGAGAGGGCATTGCTCATTTTCAAGTTCCAGCATTATATATAACGTAACGATTCTCACAAGTGGTGTCCTAACTAAAAGGTGGTGGACGATAATTCGTCACCACCGGGAAATGGCGATTGAGTTCCCTAATTCCCAGTCACATTTTAAAAGGATATGTATATAAGGTATTTTCTCTGTCCTCTCGTCATGTCTTCGTAGTTGTAACTAGTAGCACTCTTGACACGTATTCGAGAGGTCCGGAGTTCGATTCCCAGTGAGGTCATTGCTCATTTTTCACGTTGCAGCATCCATATAATCTAATGCTTCTCACAAAATTATCATCTGTATCATAAGAAGAAGTCATTTCAGAGCGGATACGTTTCTTCCGAATATTTTGCATGATAATATCATTAAGAAACTCTTTCCAAGAATTAAGTTTACTTTCCTTTAACTTAGACATATATATTAGTCTTATTTGCAAATAACTGTTTTTATCAGTAAACGTTCCGTCGATACGGAGAGCTTTTACGGTATTTAGAGTACTCAAGTAACCACTCATCCCTGAATAAGATACCCATTTTTATAGATGTTTTATCAAGTTATATTCTTCTCAGATTAAAAAGCAAAACTATTTTATGAATTTTGCCCACTGCGACAATTGGCTAACTTTACTAATAAAAATTTATTAGTAAATTTATCTAATAAATTAAATTATACAATTGGATAAAATAAATGTATTTAAAATATATAGCTTAATATTATCTCACGCATCGCAGGAAAACTTCATCAAATCAGTCCCATACATACCAATAATATACATTATTAGCTTCTTTGGAAGAATTTCATTAGATGAGTTAAGATTGGCTTAAGAAATATTAAAAATGCAAATAATATCTATATTACGTAAATTAAATAAGGAAACTGTAATATAATAATGAAGTTTTTCGGACTTTTGCTCTTCAGTCCTTATGAGCGCCATCTGTACATGATAACCGCAAGCAATAAAAACACCTTGAACAGTCTTAAATCTCATCATTATATCCCCGTACTGCGCGGCGTCCACTAGTTATTAAACTCGTTTACGATAAGCGGATTACAAGCTGCGGAATTTGTTTTTCAATGTTAAATATCGCGGCGCTGAAATCATTGACCTAAATCCAATCGTATCTGGTTTGGGAGCAGAAAAAATAGAACCGAAACTCAACGACGATTAAAAAAGTTTCGCGTTCGAAATTTGTTTTTGCTACATTTGTGAGGAGAAATATTTTCCTTTTCCTATCTTTGTTCAGTCGTTTAAACGTTTTTAAAACATGTAGTGAAAAGGTAAGTAAAAGGATTTAATTAACTCTCTTTTCTATACCTGAAACTAAATTTTTATTAAAATATTTCTCAGTAACGTCATAAATATTTTCAACATTAAATTATAAAATTCCATACTTAAGTTTCTCAATTTTTCAAAACAAAATTATAATAAGTAATGTTATGAATATTATAAAATGTTAAATAAGAAATTTTTTTAAGAAAATTAAACTGTGCATGCTAGAAATTTATATATTCATCATATCTAACATAGAAATTACATTTTACTATTTTAGAGTTCCAAATTCAAAGAGTAAATTGTTTTATATAGTTATAATTATGTTTTTGCATTATCAGAACATAATTCACAAGTTATTCTGTTCTGAATCAATATATAATTATTATATAATGCACGCAAATTTGAATAAAATATAAAATTTCGCAGTCGACTCGTAAACAGTCTCGCTTATATTCATTTAAATGTTCAAAGTCATGCAGATTGTTCATTAAGTTAATAACAAAAATTTTTGGTAAACTACTAAAAATATCGGTTAAAAATGCATTTTTAATATGCGATTATTTAGGTAAAAATAACACGCCGAACAAATATTAATTTAGAAGTCACCTTCATCTGTCAAAGAGCAAATGAACGAGATAAATCATATGTCGTTCATCTGCTCTTTGGCAGCTGATGATGATGGTTCGGTAAAACCATCCAAACTAGTCCTGTGAGAAATTGCAAATATAACGCTTATTTGTGTCGTTTGGCTTCTAAATTAACGTGATTATTTATGAAACAAATTTGAAAAATTATTGCTGTAATCTGTGACATTCAAATTTCTCTTCCAATAAATTTATTTTTACAAAGGATACTTGAAATTAAATACAAAATACTACATTTACTTTTTAAGAGAAAAATGCTTAAGGCATGCTGTTGTTATTTTAATCTTCCTAATCGGAAGAATCTCCCTAATCTCTAAATCTGGTCCATGAAATTCATCATGGCCAAGAAGCGCTGAGTGTCTGTCATTTGTCTGGTTTGGGGCCTGAAACGTCCTATGACTAGGCTTTAATTTCAGGTGTTAAATGCGCCTTTTTTTTCCAGCACAGTCCCAATTTCAACGCATAATCCCCCCCCCGAGGAACTGCTGAAAGCCTTTCTTCCTCTGTTACCAGTCTTTGAAAAAAACTTTCCTCTTGAAAATATTTAAGTGTTTCCATGCTTCAAAATACTATACATGCACTTGTAAACATGCATGCCTTCTGCGGGATTTGAGCCCGGGATCAAGGCTGTGCCAAATCATAGCACCATAGCGACGGCTTGAGATATTAAATACTATATGAAGTGAGGGGAAAATTCAATTCAAAATTATTTCGCGCATTATTTTAAAAACCAGCATTATTTATCTTTACATTCTTTATATTCGAGGTTGAATTCTTTTTTGAAATTGTAAAACTATTTCTTTGAAACATATAGAATATGAAACATATAGAACCTTAGAATATGTAATGAAACAGATGTTCCAGTTTTGAAGTATAAAATAGAGATTTTTTATTCACTAACTTTTCCCACATTAAGAAACTATAAACCCAATTTCCTAGAGGGATTTTAACATCTTTGATTAACATGCTGTTAATATAATGAATGGGTATTCGAATCTTTGAATCAAATAAATCTTTAAAATGATTCGAGATTCTAGAATTTGAACCTTCGAGCTTTCTTCATCATGCTAACGAGAACATTAAATATTTTAATTCAGTGTTAAAATTCAGCGAATGAAGATCACCAGTATCACCTCGTGATTACTTTAACTTTAGGGATTCTTAAATTTAGGGAGATAATTTAACGTTTCATATTTAATGTTGCGATCTACTAACTCTGGAAGTAATCTTTCATATGCACTTGATTTGATTTAAGATTAATTTGGGGAAAATGAAAACCAAATAGTCTAAAATTCTTTCCTCAAAATTTATTGAGAAAATTTAGTTTATCAGGAGGTCTGATTACATACTTTATTCATTAAATTTCCTTTCTATCTTAGTTATTTGTATTCATTAAATTTCATTTGTATTTATTTTGTAGTTTTTTTAAAAACTGCGTTTTTTTTATATTTCTTTTCCTTCAAATGCAGATCTCGAATTTTTTTAATTAAAGAGTTTTAATATTAATTATTTTCTTCCGTTAGTTTCCCTTATTATTATTCTTGTATGAAAGATTCATGAGATTCCAGACTTTTAAAACTTGGTTCCTAATTTGAATTTGAGAAGATTTAGGATTTCTCCTATCGCTGATAAATTTAGTTAGATACGCGTTTTATAGAAACATTTATCTGCTTTACTTCTGACCAAAATAGACATGAAAGGTCAAATTTCATGGTAGATATAAAAAATGGTATACAAAAGAACGCAAATTTTTCGTTTTTTTATAAAATAAATATGTCTAAAGCTATTGTTTAGCGAAAAAAAAAAAGATAAAACAGAACTATTTATGTTGCCTTACTCATCATCGCCTTACTTCCTAAAATAAGCTCTTTACTTAATTCTTACATATGTATATGTGCTTGCAAGTTTGAAAAAAATATGCTCTATTATGTAAATACCGTATTCGTAATACATCAAAATAAAATACCGAAAGCAAAAAATCTGCAAATAATTTCAGATCATGGACCTTATAAGAAATAGACTAACCCAAACGGGTTTTCTCCCTCGTCTGAGGCGTTGCCGGCTGTCACCTAAATCACATCCGGAGGAGTAGGGACGACTTGCAGAAATTTAATATTGGTTGCCTATTGCAGCGTGTATAATTGCCAAGAAAAAGCTGGTTGTAGCGCCTCATTTCACAAATTTCTACATAGTTTTATTTTAGAAATTGAGATTGATTTTTAAAAGTTTAGCATATTTATCAAGCATAATTAACGTTCCAAATATTTATAAAGCTATTGCATGCTTTCAGGACTGGATTTTTTTTTAGCTTTTCCTATGCTGTAAGGAAATTTGTAACTACTTCTTTTAGAAAATAATATTTTAAATCTGAACTAATAGAAAATTTCAAACAAGCTATTTTTATGCTCTTTTTGGTGTAAATAAGTAAAAAATACTAAAATATTTAAAAACGAATTTTTGAAAATTTTGTTTAAAATTCTAAATTGTACTGCTTTTTTTAAATTATAGATGAGTATTATAGCACAAATTCTATAAATGAATTTTATTTCAATCATATTTCATAATACATCGCAGTGATAAACACTTTTGACTAATTAAAAATGTTTATACATTTAATTCTAACATTAAAATTGTATTTAACCATAATAATTAATTTTACTTGTATTTTATAGTGATTATTTTTTTAATTTATTTTCAGTTCTGCATATGATTTTTTTATTTACTTTTAATTTAATTTATTAGCCTAAAGGGGCGGTAGCCTAGAAAGGCTGTTAGTTCGAAGCGGCATTTTGCGCTGTTTTACTATAAATATCCGTGTCTCCTTGCAAATTGTTGTTACCAAATATTATCGCCCTGTATTATATGTAAAGAAATTAAATAATGAAGAATCTGCATGAATACATGTATGTTTCTTGCACTGTGACAAAAACGACGGTATCTAGAGCCATCAAATTTTGAAGAATGGAATCCTCCACCCGAACATGGGCATCTGGACGGCCGAATTTTGAATTTGTTTTAATCTATTTCCTATTTTGTTGTAAACTTTAATGAATTTTTGATTAACAAACTCAACGAGTTCAGAGCAAGCACTGTACGGAAAATAACAGTTTTATCTCCAGTGCGGAAATTCTAAAGATATGCTGTTTTCAAATGTATGTGGTTTAAGAGCGAAGAACATGATATTCAATAAATATAGGTAACACACAAAACTTTAAAAAAAGGTTCCTTTTGGGCGTAGATCTGAGTGCTTCTAGATTTTATCTTTTTTTTCCCCTTAATTACGCTCAGAAAATGTTATGCTCCCAATTTTATGAATTATTAAAATAACTAATCCACTTTAATATTAATAATGTAATGATCATATAATCAAATAAATATGATCGTTTCGTATTATTATTATAGTTTGGAAAATCACTGCCTGAAAATGTTCATTAAATTAAAAACAAAATTATCAGATCTTGCTTAATTTTACCTTATTTATTTCAAATCATCACGTACTATCAATCTTATTTAATTTTACTTTATTTTTACGCAAAATTAAGTTCATAAATTTTGTGCTTAGCGTTTTTACCGTTTTACCAAAGTAAAGATGTTTGTACAAGAATTACGCGTGAAAAAAATGGGCGAAATGTAGTAAAAAGTGCTTTAATGAGATATATTAAATCCTATTTGGAAAAAAGTGAGGCTTTTTTAATCTCATCAACTATACAACGTATCACATTTAATAATTAAAAAGAGTTATGTGATACAAACGCCATTGGTTTCAGTGTTAAAGTAAACCAAATCTTCCTTACTCTTTCTTGCCGACATGTCGGTGACGCGCGCCCCGCCTTCTGGGTTAGTCTATTTCTTATAAGGTCCATGTTTCAGATATGTTTATGTCTTCATGCGCAAATGATATAAAACTGTTTTCTTCTAATACAGACTCACTTCGACTAAACTCCATCTTAAATAGTCTGTCGGCCTTGGCCCTACCTCAACTTGTTTTAACTACAGTACCTAGAGCGGGAAGTCTACTCATCGCAAGTATAAGATCAGATTCTTTGAATGTGTATTTATTAGCTGCACTTTAAACTTGAATGACTGTTTTTAATTTAGAAAAATTTTAAGAAGCTTTCCGATAATCTAAAACTTGAAGTTATCTGTTGACTTAAATATCAAAGATATCTAATATTCAGTTCATTTGTGCAATTCAATCAAATTATTTCGCATGAGATTTCACTTTAAATTTAAATTATAGTTTCTGAAAGAAACCTTAAAGATTCTAAAGGGGTATTTTAAAATACGAAATAGAGTTTGCTGTAATTTTTTTAAACCAGAAGAACGAGGAAAAATGTATTTCGGAATGGGTATGACATTCG